GCAAACTCATCGTGTTTGTATTGGGTTAGCCAAAAGTCTATTACGTTTTTTCTGAACGATGGCTCTAATAGTGCTTAGGTGTCTTTAACTTTATTCGAAACAATTTTGTTAGACTGTATTGTGACGACTGTCATAACAGAATGCATTTTTTAAAAACCTATCAAAACTGGTGAATTTTTGTGCAGCCATTTCAATGCTGAAGGTGGAAGAAGATATGCAACATTTTCAGCATACTATGCTTTATTATTTGAAAGTTAAAAACACAACTGAAACACACAAAAAAGGTATGTGCAGTGTATACAGAAGGTGCTGTGACTGATCGAACGTGTCAAAAGTAGTTTGTGAAGTTTCTTGGTATTATTGACAGTCTGACCAAAGAATTCTTTGCCGTGGGCCTGCTTTATGCATTGGAAGATGTTTAGCAGCACCCCTGGCCTCTGCCCACTAGAAGCCAATAGTGGGAGATAGCTGACATACTCAAAATATCCAAATCAATAAAGTTATTGGTGAAAATGAAAAATGTGTCTTTTATTTTACAGAAAAAAATAAATGGAATTTTTGGCCAACCCAATAAAATATCCACATAAACCCCTCCCTGTTGCCACTGTAAGACAAGTAGGAGGGGCTGGAAGAACTGACATAATATGATATTCATGTTGCTGTATCATAAATAATAAAGTCCTTAGTCTCTGACCCAGGAATCTTGTCTTTTGCAAGCTCCATAAAGTAGTAACAGACAAACTTGAGTGTGGAAGGTAAAATTCCAGACCCTTCACAATTTTGACAGGTACAGAGCAATACATAATTAGAACATATACCACATGTCTTTTCTATATTTTTTACCTTTTGCCTCATTGCGTGTCATTCTAAATATTTCCTTCTGTATTCCAATTTGCTAATTCCTCATTTTGGTCTTACTTGCTACTAAACCATCTCCAATGTGTTCATTTTTAAGGTATGATGTTTTTCAGTCTAAGAATTTCTATCTGGGTTCTGCTTTTAAATTTTTGGTTCTCCAATGAAGTTCTCAATCCTGTATCTTTCTTTTTAGCAGTATAATTACATTTAATTATTTTAAAATCCATGCATAATTCTATTATTAGGATCCCTTGAGGATATTTCTATTATCTGTTATTCCCTCTTCATTTTTTATCACATTGTCTTCCCCTCATATGCCTTTTTTATTTTTAATTCAGTGTTTGATACTGCATATGACAAATTTAGAGGTAATTTGACACTTAGGGTCATGTCACTTTCCTCCAAAGAGGACTAATATTTACTTCTAGCAGGCGACTGGAGACACTAAAGTCACAGATCACCTTAATCTAATCACCAATTGAGATATTCCCATTTTGGGATTCATTTCTAAGGTATAGCACATTGGGGTTCCCAACTTAAGAACTGAGAATTTACCAACAGTAATCTCTAAACCCTGGTGGGCTATGAACACCTGTTTTGTTTTTCTAGCCTTAAGTGTCCACCAAATTCTCTGCTCAGCTTATCATGCATCTTTCTCAGAATCAACAAATGCCTGAAAAAGCAGCTCACCTAACTGTTTTAATAGCATTATGATATACTCAAACACATCTTTTATCTTTTGCCAGTATTTCTAATGTTTTTCATTTGCAGTATTAATCCAAGTAACTTATCAAATATTAACAAAAGTAGAACTTCTCCAAAAACAGATTTAATGTGCTTAATATTTAAAGGTTGTAGAAGTTCTGTTTTGTGTTTTTTTTTCCATTTTCTCCATATGGGCCAGACACAACACGCTTCCTTTTAAAATATGCATTCTACCAAACATCTTTAAAGGTAATGTGTATTATCAAGGAAACCGAAAGGATATACTTTTAGTTAATTGTGCAATAGTTTAGGTAAATATAGCTTGCCTCCTTGCACAACCACATCAAAATTAACACTAAATTATAGAACAACCATCACTCAGAGCCTCCAAAAATTGAGTTGAATAGAAATCTGACAACTATGGAAAAAGAAATCACATCTATCTGAACTGGTAGGAGGGGTGGTCCTACATCCATGTGTGGTGAATAAATATTTGGGAAGGATATCTCGGGAGTGAGGAGTCCCAGCCCCACACCAGGCCCTCCTGCCAAGGGTTCCAGTACAAGGATGGTAAGTACCCATATCTTCAGGCTGCAAAAAACTCACTCCTTCTGAGTTCTAGCACTGGCATAGAAGCTTGAAAGGCACCAGTGATCATACATGGAGAAACTGAAGGTCTTGGCATCAAGTAGAGAGGTGGGGGACAGCTTTCTCCCAGCAAGAGGACACTGTTCCTTTCCTGACCCCTCTCCCCACAGAGCCAATAGGTGGGCAGGTGCCATATCTGAGACTCCATCAACTTGGCTAACACAGTTTGCCCTGCCCTGGAGATCCCCTAAGCCTGTGTCCCACCCAACTTACAGTCCTATCTAAGTTGTTAACTGACTTTTCCATAGGAATGACTGGTCTTGGCTTATGCTTCACAACTTCCTATATCCTTTCAAACAAGCAAGAGCTGGCCTCAGTGAGCCCCCAGCCCTTGAACCTCTCATTAAGTGGTAGCAGCATGGTACTAGCAGCAGCCAGCCTAGATTCACAGATTGGCTTTGCCTGGAATCTCCAAGCCAAGCATGAGTAGCAGCCATCTCAGACTGCTTCATAGCTCATGCAGGGAAGCCCAGAGCAAAACACAGGTTGGGGCTGACCTTGGCCTGCACCACCCAGGAAACCCCAAGGCTGGTGCACCCAGTGGACAGCTACAGACCACACTGGAGCATAACCACCCTGCCCCTGCATGGCTGATCCTCCACCAACAATGGTGGTTGGTGGTCAGTGATCACAGCCAATCCTTGCAGCTACCAGGCCAGGGTAAATCCCTCTCATTTACTTGCTAATAGCAACCAAGGCTCAACAAGAGGAGGGTATACTCTGCCCACAAAAAGGGCACACCTCGAGTACCCAGCTTTGGTGATAGGGAAGGCTCTGCCACTGGACCCTATAGGACACCTACTACATTAGGCTGCACTACCAAGACACAGAGTCAAAACAGCTCTACCTAAAACACAGAAACAACACAGGGAGGCTGCCAAAATGAGGAGACAAAGAAACATGGCCCAAAAGAAAGACTAGATCAAAACTCTAGAAAAATAACAAAACAAAATGGAGGTAAGCAATCTATTAGATGCAGAGTTCAAAACATTGGCTATAAAAATGCTCAAGGGACTTAGCAAGCACATCAACAGCATAAAAAAGATCCAGTCAGAAATTAAGGACATTCTCACTGACATAAAGAACCATTTATAGGGAAATAACAGTAGAGTGGATGAAGGTGAGAATCAATGATTTGGGCCATAAGGAAGCAAAAAACAACCAATCAAACAACAAAAAGAAAAAAAGAGTCCAAAAAAAATGAGGATAGTATAAGCAGCCCCTGGGACAACTCCAAGAGGTCCCACATTCACATCATAGGGGTCCCAGAAGAAGAGAAAGAGCAAGAAACTGGATATCTATTTGAAAAAATAATGAAAGAAAACTTCCCTAATTTGGTGAAGGAAAAATACAAGGAAGTCCAGGAAGCACAGAAAGTCCCAAACAAGATGAACCCATAAAGGCCCACACCAACACCATCATAATAAAATGCCAAAGGCTGAAAATAAGGAGAGAATCTTAAAAGCAGCAAGAGAAAAGCAGTTACCTACAGGGGAGTTTCCATAAGACTATCAGCTGATTTCTCAAAAGAAACTTTGCAGGACAGAAGGGACTGGCAAGAAATATTCAAAGTCATGAAAAGCAGGGACCTACAGCTAAGATTGCTCTACTCAGCAAAGATAGCATTTAGAATTGAAAAGCAGACAAAGAGCTTCCCAGACAAGAAAAAACTAAAGGAGTTAATCATCATCAAACCATGATAAGAAATGTTAAAGGAACTTATTTAATAAAAAGAAAATCAGAACTATGAACCATAAAAACGGCAAAAATACATATCCATCAACAATTAAATCTTTAAAAAAAAACTAAGCAAACAAGAACAGAGACAGTCATAAATACAGAGAGTTTTGATGGTTGTCAAATGGGAGAGGGTGTGGGGAAATGGGCAAAGAGATGAGAGAATTAAGAATTACTAATAGGTAGTTACAGAACGGCCATAGGGAAGCAAAGTACAGTGTAGGAAATAGAGTAACCAAAGAACTTACACACATGACCCATAAACATGAACAAGGTGTGAGGACTGCGTGAGGGAGTAAGAGGTCCTGGGGGGAGGGGTGCAAAGGGGGCAAAATTGGGACAACTATAATAGTATAATCAATAAAATATAATTAAAAAACAAACAAACATGTAATACCTTTAGAAAATGTCATTTGCACAAAAACTTCTGTAGTAGTGAAGACAAAACATTTGGAGTGAAAAAATTTAAAAATATATATTTTTAGAAACAGACTCATAGATACATAGAACAGACTGATGGCTGAGAGGGGGAGGGAAGTTGGGTGCTTGGCAAAACAGGAGAAGGGATTAAGAAGTACAAATTGAGAGACACAAAAGAGTCACAGGGATGTAAAGTACAGCATAGGGGATATAGTCAATAATACTATAATAACTACGTATGGTTCCAGGTGGGTGCCTGACATATAGGGTGGATCACTTTATGAAGTATATGACTATTTAACCACTATGCTGTACAGCTGAAACTAATACAAAATAATTTAAATGTAAACTGTAATTGAAAATTAAATTCTGAAAAACAAAAAAATGTATTTTTAAAAGAAAAAATGTACCAAAGTAATTTCACATTTCAATTAAAAAGAAGAAAAGTACCATCAGCTTCCATATTTCTAATTACAAAATAAAGGGTCATTTATGATGATCTAGTGTTTTTAAAACATGTGAAACAGGATACAGTTTTCTCTTATATTTTTTTCCCTTGATAAATTACGTAACTTTATAAAGATCTGAAGTTTACTCAACATCTGAGAAATATCAGGTCTGCCAACACTTACTGTGAAAAATACGAAAATCAATATATGGATGAGAACCTCTTCTTTCCGATTCAAATCCTGCTCGACTCCTTACGCGTACATCTCCTGGACAGAATAAGAAATAAAACATAAGTTTAGAAGAATGCCATCTGGGTAGAAGCTCCCATATGCAAGAAGGGTCTATATGGTATATTCATAAGTAATGGTCCACAATTAATATATATGGAATAAGTAGTTAAGAGCTGATTTATCTAAATTTTTAGTACTGAGTTGTAAGGCTACATGGAGTTTTTTTAAATCTACTTCTACAGTAATGATTATAATCTATATTTTAAAGTTAGCCTTTTGAAAGATGAATCAAGTGTATGATAATTCAACTTAGTATCTTATTACTCAGATGGAGTTAAAAGAATCCTCATCACAAAACATTAAAAAGCCACAGGAAGACATAAATATTTAGGAAATGTCCACTTTGTACCTAGCACTATACGAGCTATAGGGAATATGAACAAAGAGAAAATACATTACATATTGTTCAACAGCCTACAATTTTCTTTAAATGTACAGAAAATTAAGATGTTAAAGATTTTGCCTTGTTTAATTGGATCAATCTCCTCCCAAGGTCTTTGCCAGGCTCTTACAGGTGGGCCTTTACAAGTTCAGTGCTATCTCTACATGTATCCTATGGCATTCACATGTAGTTCTCCACACAGCACCAGTGCAAACCAGAGGTCCAATACTCTTTTTTGTGCCTTACAGGCATTATTCTGTTTAATTCTCTAACCAATTCTGACAGGATTTTTATCTTATTTTATAGATGCAGGAACTTGACATTTTGAGAAATAGCAAGCCCATGACACAAAGCCAGTGTAAAGGTTGAGTCAGGATTTAAGCCTCCCTCTGTGGGCTCCACTATACTTCCATAGCCTCCAGGTTCATAAACTTTGAGTCTTTCAGTGCCTATCCCTCTGCTTTTGCAATTCTATGTGCCTCAAAGGCCTTTCTGCCTACTCTTTGTTTCTCGCAGGAAGGCCATCATTTCTTTCAAGGTTCATGTCATCTACCACGAGTCTATCCCCCAACTATAAATCACTTCTCTCACATGATGATTCTTTCACTCTACAATAAATGTTTACTGAGCACCCAACCACACTTCAGGCTTGGGAAACACAGCAGTAAGCAAATACATAAAGTCCCCAGTCTTCATGAAGCTTATTCTTTCATGGAATGAGGCAAGTAAGAAAACAAACAATTTATTCTATGAATGATGGCAATAGGTAACATGGAGAAAACGAAAGCAAGGTAAGATGAACAGAAGGAAGGAGTAGAATAAGAGTGATTCGTAGATGTGGTCAGAGAAGGCCTCACTGAAAGGAGACATTTGAGAAGAGACCTGAAGGAAGTGAGGCCATGAGCCATAGGGCTGTCTGGAGGAAAAGGTTTCCAGGTGTAAGAAAGATCAAGCATTGCCCGGGGTTCTGTGGCTTGGCTGGTTTAAGCATCATCCTGTGCACCAAAAGGTCATGGGTTTGATCTCTGGTCAGGGCACATACCTAAGTTATCTGTTCGGTCCTCAGTCAGGGCACATATGGGAAGCAACTGATGGCTGTTTCTCTCTCACATCGATATTTCTCTCTCTCGCTCCCACCCTCCCACCACTGCCTTCCTCTCTCTTTCTAAAAAATCAAAAAATATATCCTCAGGTGAGGATTAAAATAAAAGAGCAAGTATAAATATCCTTAGATGGGAGTATCCTTGGCACATTTAAGGTCAAGCAAAGAGGTCAGCATGGTTGGAGTGAGGCAAGAGAAGAGGACTGGTGAGGTGAGGTCAGAGAAGTAGCAGGGCCAAATCACACTGGGCCTTCGTGGGCCATTATAATAGCTTTGGCTGCTACTCTTGGGCGGGGGGGCAAGAATTCTGAACATATGAATGAGAGTGATTTAACTGATGTCTTAAAAGACTTACACTGGCAGGGTAGACTAGAGTTGAGTAGAATCATAGGTAGATGAAGAGACCAATGGTGTGAGTGCAATGAACAAAAGGCAGTGACTATGGCTTGCAGGGAGAGGCCATGGGAAGATGTTGGTCAATGGTATAATATTTCAGTTATTCAAGGTAAGTTCTGGAGCTCTCATGTGCAACAACGTGACGAGAGTTAAAAATCATTGATGGCTTAGATTGGATGGTAACAGCACTGGGGTGGCAGAATTATGGTTATATTTTGGAGGTATCAGCCAAGAAGACATGCTGATAAAATAGAGTATTTAAGAAATAAGAGTCAAGAATGACACCAAAAGAATGGAGTTATTTCTTGGAATAGCAAGACTGCAAAATGAACAGCCTTGGGAACACAAATCTTTTGTTTAACAGACATATTAAATGTGAAGTGCACAATATACACCCATGTGGAAATGTTCAAAAGTTTTTAAAAATGAGTCTAAAGCTCTGTTTTAAGGACAGCATAATTCTGAATAGGTTTGGAGAGAGATGGACACAGTGAAGAGGAAAGGGATGAACATTCACGGGGAAAAATATGTACTAGAGTAGAATAAAACTGAGGAAGACATGATATACAAGGTAAATTAAAGAGGGAAACAAGGATAAGAGCAAAAACAGAACTGGGGAACATTATGGCTTAGAGTATGAGAAGAAATTAGTGAAAAAGGCAAAAAAAAAAAACCAGTAGGCAAAGAATAAGGAATGTTCAATATAATAGAATTTAGGGAAGAATGCTGAGCATGGGGAAAGTCATCATGGAAGATACCTCTAGGAAAAGATGAACAAATCTGCCTATTGGAATCTTAATGGTACATTTTTAACAACACAAAAGGCATGAAAAGTGTGTGAGTAAAGATATAATCTGGCAAAGAAAGAGAGAGAAAGAGTGAGACAGAGAAAGAAAATTCTACACATAAATGAGGTCTGTCCAGAAAAAGTCCAATCACTGTTAATATAACGCAAGAACAGTTTGCATGACATCGATGTAGCCAAGGAGAGTGGACTGGAATGCACATGTGTGAACAATGACAACTTCACTGTGACTAGTCAGTGGGGGCAGTAGATGACATTGAGTGAGCATGTGCATTGTGTGGCTGTCACATTCAAAATGACTGAGTAGAGCAACAAATATGCATCAAATTTTGCGTTAAGTTTAAACGTTCCTCTGTAGAAACTATTAGGATGATTCAGAAGACACAGCTGTGGGCAACTGGTGATTGGCAGCCTCATCACAACAACACTCCTGCTCATGCATCACATCTCATGCAGAGTTTTTTTGTGAAACATCAAATCACCCAGGTGACTCAGTCCACCAACAGCCCAGATTTGGTGCCCTGTGACTTCTGGCTTTTCCCAAAACTGAAATCACCTTTGAAAGGGAAGAGATTTCAGACCGTTGATGAGATTCAGGAAAATATGATGGGGCAGCTGATGGCGATTCCAACAAAGGATTTTGCAGTGTTTTCAGCAGTGGAAGAGGTGCTAGGAGAGCTGTATGAGGCCCCGAGGTGTCTACTTTGAAGGGGACTGAAGCATCATTGCGGTATGTACAATGTTATCTTATATCTTCTTCAAGAATTGTCTCTATTTTTCATATTACATGGCTGGATACCTTCTGGACAGACCTCATGTGAAAATTCATTTTACTCTGTGGACTTAAGTAATATGTTAAAAATTTAAGAACTGAGATTAGAAGACAAATGGTCCTCCTCGCCAATCAACTTAGAACAAACTACTTCCAGTGACAGGACTATCTATCTGACCGGGTACCTCAAGGCCTCATCTGTGTCTATGTCAGCATGAATGTCTATTTGGCACTGAGCATCCCTACAAATCTAGGGGTGTTTTTATGAAGAACACTCAGGATGCAATTTAAAACTGGGTACTAGTGACAGAGTCCCAGGTATTAAACCAGATTTCACAATTACCGATAACTAAAATGCTGTCTTATTAACAGTACATTCAATAAAGCTACCCAATGAAATACATTTCTATTTCAATTAACAGTAGATGATAATAAAATTAACTGATATTGGTACAAAATAGAAATGCTTACCTAGCATACGAATATACAATGCAGTCTGATCAGAACTGTCATAGGAAATGGCTCCACGTCTCTAAAAAAAAGCACACACACATTTTAATGTATAACAAACATTATATAAAATTCATTTCAACAAATATGTATTTGTTATTTGTGAAGCAGTGGGGAAAAAAGCTGGATATGTAAAATGAAATTAGATATAGCATCTGTTCCATAGTTGTAAGGTGGACAAACAATTGTAATACAATATGGTTAAGCACTACCATACAAGTGGATTCAGAGTGAGGAACATGCAGTAGGCGGAAATTCACTGTCCAAGTATGTCAGATAAGCCCACTTGGTGAGAGATCTTCTGCAGAGGAAAGAGAACTAAAGAAGACATATGGCTCAGCTGCTTTACCATTCCTTTCCTTTAAACATGACTGAATAAGCATAGAAATAAGAACCATCAGATATCTGGAGAAAGTCATTAGCTAAAAACAAATGGAATAAAATAAAAAACCAAATGGCCCAGAGACTAGCAAGAAATAAGAGAATTAGAAAAAGTAATGTAAAGAGATTTGTAATGTAAAGTAACTCAAAGAGATTTGTAAAGACACTGAATTTATTAAAAAATAAAAACAGGTTGCCGCTGATAGAAAGATTTTAAAATATATTTTATGTTTAAAAATAAACAAGTATAAAAATGTATCTTGCAACATTATTCATAACAGCTCCATATTGGAAACAACCAAATGTCCATGAACAACTAACGAATGGATAGATAAAATGTAGTATAGCCACACAATGGAGTATTATCCACACGTAAAAAGGAATGAATACTGATACATTATATAACACAGATGAGCCTTAAGAACATTATGTTGAGTAAAAGGGGCCAGCCACAAAACGCCACACAGTATATGGTTCCATTTACACGAGATGTCCAAAACAGGCAAATCCACACACAAACAGAAAGTACACTGGTGGTTGCCTAGAGCTGGAAGAGCTGGCAGGAAATGGAGAGTGAATGGGAACATGGTTTCTTTCTGCAGTGATGAAAATACTCTAAAATTAATTGTGGTCACAACTGCATCACTCTGAATATACTCAAAATCACTGAATTATACACTTTAGATAGGTGAATTGTATAGTATGAGAATTATAAATCAATGAAGCTATTACAACTAAAAGCAAATATTGCAAATTTAAGATGTAATTACTAAAACCAAAAATTATAGGAGCTGAAACACCCTCAGCACTTCTGTCAACTCTACCTTCACATGTATCACCCTTCCTCACCTGGTCTGCAATGGGTTGCTGGCAGTTTTTGTGATGCATCTCTTGGTCCCTAGTCCACTCTTCACGCGAAAGAAAAGGGACCATTTGAACTACTGCTCAAAACCCTCCAATGGCTCTCTGCTACACTTGGAATAAGGCAAACACCAAGCTCTGACTTCCAAAGGCCTCCATGGTCTGCTTGCCTCTCATGGTCTTCTCACCGCCATGACCCAGCCTCCCTGGCCTCCTTGCTCTTCCTCAACCTCCCCAAATGTACTGCCATCGCACTTGCTGTTTCCCCTGTCCGGGATCACTGCCTCACTGCTCTTCTCATCTCTCAGATTCTACATGAAGTGTCATCTCTCCACAGAGGCACTCCCAGACTACCAAATCTGAAGTCACCTAAGAGTCACCCTCTCCGACAGCTCCATACCTCCATGCACCTAGTTGATGTTACTTTGTTTGTTCCAAAAATGAAAACTCCAAGACTTCTGGCAAGATGGAGGCATAGGTGGACGCACTGTACCTCCACGCACAACCAAGATTAGAACAACAACAATTTAGAGGCAGAATGACACCCAGAACTGACAGAGAATTTATCTGAATGGAAGTTGGAAAGCCAAGAAGTTGAAGTAGACCCGTTCGTCCAGACCGGTAGAAGGGGCTGAAAGGAGCAGCCAGGCGCGGGTCGCGGTGCGTGGAGAACAGGGAGAACTGGGTGCATAAGGCAACCGGGGGCACGTAAGGCATCTGGGGCATGCAAGATTGCAGCAGGTCAACCCTGAGTACGCAAGCGGCAGCTGGAAGACCCAGTGAAGTCGAGATTGTGGACCAGGGCAGAGCGCGCAACCCAGGATCCCAGAGAAGGGACTGAGATCCAGGAGAATGGAGCTACCGCCATTGTTCCCCCCCACCCCCGCCCTTGCCCCTGCATACAACGTCACAATCTAGCGACTGGGGTGCCCAGCCCTGGTGAACACCTAAGGCTCCGCCCCTCACCATAACAGGAGTGACCAGACCAAAAAAAAAAAAAAAAAGAGAGAGAGAGAGACATGTCTCAAACAGAAGAACAGATCAATGCCCCAGGACTCATCATTTTAAGCGACCAAGAGATAGCCAATTTATCAGATGCACAGTTCAAAACACTGGTGATCAGGAAGCTCACAGAATTGGTTGATTTTGGGTGCAACATTAGATGCAAAAATGCAGGTTACCATAAAAGAGATGAAGGAAGATGCACAGAGAACCAATAGTGATGGGAAGAAAACTGGGACTCAAAACAATAGAGTGGACCAGAAGGAAGAAAAAAACAACCAAACAGGAAAGAATGGAGAAATAAGAATTCAAAAAAATGAGGAGAAGCTTAGGAACCTCCAGGGCATCTTTCAACATTCCAACATCTGAATTATAGGGGTACCAGAAGGGGAAGAGGAAAAGCAACAGACTGAACACGTATTTGAACAAATAATAAAGGAGAACTTCCCCATTCTGGCAAAGGAAATAGACTTCCAGGAAATCCAGGAGGCTCAGAGCCCCAAAGAAGTTGGACCCAAGAAGAAGCACAGGAAGGCACATCACAATTACATTAGCCAAGGTAAAAATGAAGGAGAGAATCCTAGAAGCAGCAAAAGATAAGGGGACAGTCACCTACAAAGGAGTTCCCATCAGACTGTCAGCTGATTTCTCAAAAGAGACCTTACAGGCAAGAAGGGGCTGGAAAGAAATATTCCAAGTCATGAAAGACAAGGACCTATATCCCAGATTACTCTATCCAGCAAAGCTTTCATTTAGAATGGAAGGGCAGATAAAGTGCTTTTCAGATAAGGTCAATTAAAGGAGTTCATCATCACCAAGCCCTTATTTTATGAAATGTTAAAGGGACTTATCTAAGACGATAAAAAAAAAACCCATGTATAGTAAAAGGACAGCAAACTCACAATTACTAATAACCACACCTAAAGCCAAACCAAAAGAAACTAAGCAAACAACTAGAACAGGAACAGAAGCACAGAAATGGAGATCACATGGAGGGTTAGCAACAGGGGAGTGGGAGGAGGAGAGAGGGGGAAAATGTACAGAGAATAAGTAGCATAGATGGTAGGTTGAAAATAGATAGGGGGAGGGTAAGATTAGTATGGGAAATGTAGAAGCTAAAGAACTTATAAGTATGACACACAGACATGAACTAAAGGGGGGAATGTGGGTGGGAGAGGGTATACAGGGTGGAGGGGAGTGAAGGGGGAAATGGGACAACTGTAATAGCATAATCAATAAAATATATTTAAAAAAACATCCAAAAATTTTTATTTTGAAGTTTTACTGTTCAATAAAAGTTGATGGAAGTAAAAAACAAACAAACAAACAAAAAAAAACCTCCACAAAAGCAAGAACTATTCATCACTGTACTCCTGGCCCCATAAAATCCTAGTTTTTATTTAGTAGATTCTAAATAAATATCTGGTAAATAAATGATTAAATGATTCACTGGAAATAAATTAATGAATAGCACTGATATAAAGACCAATTAAAAACTTACAAGATAAAATTAACCTAATCACCTACTAGATGCTACACACTGTAGAGGCAGAGACTTTGTTCACTGCTGTAGCCCCAGATCTACAAGAAACCCCAACATTTAGAATAGTGTCTAGTGCACCAAAAGTGATAATATTGTTGAATAAACAGGTTACCAAATTCTTAAAAAAATAGTAATAAACAGAACTAGTGCCATGAGCTATTAATAAAGTAGTGTAGACACTACAAAGAAATATACAATCCAGTCAATGCAAAATCTAGGATCAAATCCAAAAAAATATACAGTAATTCTGTATATGATAAGTATAGGATTTAAAATCTGTGGGGAAAATACTATTTAATTTAAAAAATGTAAGATTAAGTAGTTTTTACCTGGAAAAATATAAAGCTCTATTATTACCCTCTCACTAAAATAAATTATACATGGAATAAAAATTTATAAGTAAAAACTAAGGCATAAAAATATTAGAAAAATATATGGACCCAACCAGGTAGCTCAGTTTGTTGGAGTGGCATTCCAATATGCCAAGTTTCACATTCAACTCCCAGTCAGGGAGCATACAAGAATCAACCAATGAATGTATAAACAAGTAGAACAACAAATTAATGTCTGTCTGTCTGTCTCTCTTTCTCTGTCTCCATTTCCTCTCTCTCTCAAATCAATAAGTAAAATTTTTAATATTTAAAAAAAGGGAAAAATGACATTAAAAATTCTTAAATAGGAAAGGCTAACTTTCCTATAAAATCCAGAAGTCATGAACATGGATCACTTCGGCCACTTAAAAGTTAAATTAGTCCTCGCTGAGTGGCATGGTTGGTTGGAGTGTCACCATGTACACCAAAAGGTTGGTTGCAGGATTGATCCCTGGTCAGGGCACATACCTAGATTGGAGGTTAGATCCCCAGCTGGAGCACATAACTAGAGGCAAGTGATTGATGTCTCTCTCTCTCCCTCCCCTCCTCCCCCCACCTCCCTCCCTCCCTCATCTTTGGGTCAGAGGTTAAAAAAAAGTTAAATTATATATGGTAAAATATATCATAAACAAAGTGACAAATCTCAAACCAAGATAAATGAATTCAGCTCTGGCTGGTATGGCTCAATGGATTGAGCACCAGCCTGCAAACCATGGGGTCACCAGTTCAATTCCCAGTCACGGCACATGCCTGGGTTGCAGGCCTAGTCCCTAGTGGGGGGGTGCACGAGAGGCAACCACACATTGATGTTTCTCTCCCTCTTTTTCTTCCTCCCTTCCCCTCTTTCTAAAAATCAATAAATAA